TGTGTCCTGTATTTCTGTTGTGTAGGATAGTTGTAGCCTGGGTCCCCTTGCTGAGCCTTCAGGTCCCCTCTACACTGTTGCTGACATCAGATCAAGACTACCCATTACTACCCTACAACTCTCCTATGTTTCAGGCATTAGTACTTACTGTTGTGTTGATCTCTTTTCTTTGTCCTGACCCTTTTACATTTTTAAATTTTAAACTTTCTAAACCCTTTTAAACTTTTGCCACCCTTCTTCTATTCATTACCCCTTTTAGTTTAGTGCCAATCCCTTTGTAGTGTAGACATAAACCCTACTACACTGACTGCCACCCCTACTGTCCTGCTGGATTAGCAGTTATGAGCAGAACTAGCTCAATATGTACAGACCTCTATCTAAGAGGCTTTTGCCAACCATGTGCCCCCAGCCCCTTCAGAACCTGTTCTGATTGTTCTAGAAGTTGCAACCTGTTCCAGAAAGAAAGTGTATGTAGCCTACCCTTCAGACTTTAATAGGTAGCACTTTGAGGACTTCTAGTGCCAAGTCAAACTATACATAGCTACTGCTTCAACTAATCTATCCTCAGATCTTGATTGTATCCTATTTGTCCTCTCCTTCATGAAGGAAGGCAACACAGCCACCTGGGCCCAGAACTGGATTGAAGGTCATTGGATTAGAAGCCTGATCTGGCTTCAGAATAATGAGTCATACTTGGAATTCATGGGGCAGCTCTGTGCTTCCTTCATCAATCTGAATGAGAAGTGTAATGTACAGAACAAGCTTGTGTCTCTGTGACAGGGCAAACGTTCTACTAATGCCTTCTTTCAGGAGTTCAATATCCTGGCCCAGAAGGTAGGATTCATACTCAGGTTCAATAATGTCCTTATTAGAATGCTTGAAAAAGCTCTTCACCTGGAACTGGTCAATAAGATTCTCAGAATAATGCTAGAACTAGTCACCTACACTGAGTGGAAGACACACACCATCTCCTTTGACCAAGCCTGCTAGATGTTAGAACTGTAGAACTTTGACTTTGTACTGACTCACAAACCCAGAACACAAATAACAAAAGCTGATTTACTCTCAAGACAAGTAGGTCATGAAAGGGGGGAGAATAATAATGAAAATCTTGTTCTCCTAGACAATTCCTGTTTTGTGTCCAAGACAATCCAAGAGATCTGACTCAAATCCAAGAATGTTGACTTTGTCACCCACATACTGTAAGCTCTAAGACACATACAGGACTGGGTTGTAGTGAAGCAACTAGAGAAACAGGCTAGGGATTGGGAGGAGGATGAGGATGGACAGGTTTACTAGGAAGGCCAACTGTATGTTCTGAAGGATTGGAAACTGTGGGAGGACATTGTCTGAGCTCATTATAACAATCTGACCACAGGACATCCAGGCCAACACAAAACACAGGAACTCATCACTCAGAACTACTGGTGGCCTAGAATACAGAGGGAAATCCTGAAGTATGTGACTGGTTGTAATACATGCTAACAGACTAAGGCCCACCAGACAAGGGTTCAGGCTCCCCTACATCTGTATTGGATCCCAGATCACCCTTAGGAAGAAGTCTCAGTAGACCTGATTAGTGAGCTACCTGAGTCTTAGGGTTACAACACTATCTGTGTAATTGTTGACTGATTCTCTAAGCAAGTCCATACAGTTCCAACCCAAACAGAACTCACTTCTAAAGGTATGGTGTGCATTTATCAGGATCATGTCTTCCAGTTGTACAGACTCCCTCAGAAGCTCATTCATGATCACAGACCACAATTTGAGTCAAAATTCATACAGGACTTGTATACACTTCTCAGAATTCAAGAGAACCCTTCTACTACCTATCACCTACAGACTGACAGTCAAACTGAGTGAGTCAATCAGGAGATCAAGCTCTACCTCTGGATGTTCATCAATCATCAGTAATCAGATTAGTCTGAATGGCTAGCTCTGGCAGAATTTGTGCACAATAACTAGCAACACTCTACAACAGGACAGTCCCTGTTCTTCCTCAATCATGAGAGACATCTGTACCAGGGGACAGTTCTGAACTGGAACAGCAGTTCTGAATCCACAACAGACTTTGTAGAATGAATGCACAGAACCAGGGAGGATGCACAAGCTCTTTTGGAAAAGGCAGCACAGGTCATGAAGCAGAACTATGATTGGAAGAGGTCCACAGCCAAGGATTACCAGCCTAGTGACAAAGTTATGCTGGAAGCCACTAACCTGACCATAGATCACCCAATAAAGAAGTTGGACAACAAGTGCTTCAGACCCTTCATTATTGAAAAGAAGGTCAGCACCTCTGCCTACAAACTCCAACTTCCAGCAACATGGAAGTGCATACACTCAGTGTTTAACAAGGTTCTACTGTCTCAATACTACAATCCAGGTTTTCCTTCACAACAAAGACCCCCACTGCCTCCACCAGAACTCATTAGTTCTGAACCAGAATACAAAGTAGAATATGTAGCAGATGCTAAGCTGGTGTGTAGAAAGCTCAAGTTCCTTATTCACTAGAAGGGATACTTAGTTGAAGAACACACTTGGGAACCTGCTGAGAATCTCACCCATACTGCTAAGGCAATCCAAGACTTCTATTGACTTCATCTGGGTGCTCTACATCAACTCCACCTTACAGATTTCCAAACCCTACCATTCTGACCTATGCCTGAGCTACTGACCAAGCTCAATGCTCACCAATCAGGATGATTGGTTTTAGAGGGGGGGTGATGTTACAGTTCTCTACTCTTGTACCTTCAGTTCTGAGGGTTCTGCACCCTTCTGTACCAGAACTCAGGACTTCTGTCCCTCTAGGGCACTGTCTATGAACTATATGCATGCTGACTCTTACTACTACCCTTCCTTACTTCATCATTCCATTCCTTTGACCACCCCTTC